GGAAGTTGGCTAGTTTTCCTTTTGGATGTCAGCTCAAAAGTAAATTCTAAAAGTGCCAGGCATACCCGGAGAAATCTGATTGTGACTTGCCTCTTCCTCCTCCATGGTCTTCTTGGCTTAAGTTGGCATATTAAAATGGCTTAAGACACCTTAACCCATCAATTCATGCACCTTTCCAGGTCTACAGAAGATTGGCTGAGAACCAGTCCAAACTGAAGCAGAGACACTGGTCTGTGTGTCTTCTAACTCCAAACAACTTCTTCACAAGCCACGCAAGTAAGAGGTTTAAGGGAGGTGTGGAAATTCCTTGCCAAAGAAACAATAACTTACTTAAAGCCCATCTAGCAGTAACTAGATAAAAAACAGACTCCTCGGAGGAGTCAAACCAGGATCAATAGAGACTGGCACACAGGAAAGAAAGGGTTTCAGGAAGGAAAAGTGAAGCTCCTTGAAATGCGATTTCCCCACTCAACTGGTCTCAACTGGTTTGAGGTCGTGGTCCTGCTTCCTTAGCTAGTTTTCTTGCCAGGAGATGGGATTACTCCTTCCAGTCTTACAGAGAACGTAACATAACAAGATGCTTCCAAGATAAATAGATCACGGCATCTGTGTACTTTTCTGTGGGATTATATCTGAGACTATCTGTTTCTTAATTGCAGAACATTTTATTTCAGGTATGTCTCAGAAATAATGCTACCATATCAGAGTAAAAGAAGTATTGGCCGGGTATGGTGGCTCATGTTTGTAATCCCAGCACTTTCGGAGGCCGAGGCAGGTGGATCACGAGGTCAGGAGTTAGAGACCAGCCTGGCCAATATGGCGAAATCCCATCTCTACTAAAAATACAAAAAAACTAGCCAGGCATGGTGGCGTGCACCTGTAGTCCCAGCTACTTGAGAGGCTGAGGCAGGAGAATCACTTGAACCCAGGAGGTGGGGGTTGCAGTGAGCCGAGATTGCGCCACTGCACTCCAGCCTGGGCAATAGAGGGAGACTCTGTCCCCCGTGCCCCCACCCCGCAAAAGAACTATCACTGAACATTTCAAGAGCTATAAACCAGCTCAATCTAAAAAACAGTTTAGTGACAACGAGAACTGTTAAATTAGAACCGCTGTGGCAGGTGTTGAGCGTCAATGTTTTTTCAAGCCCCCCAGGGCAACAAGTGAAACTGTTACTAACGTCCAATCCTCTGATATGTTATATAAAATGCTCAGAAAAGACACACTATCCATATGGAAAGATACTGGAAAAAGTGGCACATTCCCTATGGCCACGTGAATCTATGGTCACAAAAAAATGAAATGAATCAACACTTGAGCTTTATATATAAAAACACCATAGAACAAGTATCTAACGAAATGCCTCGGTAAAGGTCCAATGGTATAAGACTCCTAAGAACTTCAGTTGGTCGCCAATATTATTATGACAAGATTCTGCTAACATTCTCTAAGACTGATGGGGAGCCAGGAAGCAATACAGCAGACTGATTAACAGTACATGTTTGCAATATTAAAAGTCTGGATTTGAATATCTACCTGTAGAAACTTGAGCAAGCAAACTTCACTTTGCTTGGGTTCTTTATCAAGTTGTGGCAAAAATTAAAGGAGAATACATGTAAAATGCCACTTATTGCCATGCTTTAGGGACTCAGTGACCAGTAGCTATTATTATTAACCAGTATATTACAACATACCAGAATCTCTGGGACACATTTAAAGCAGTATGTAGAGGGAAACTTATAGCACTAAATGCCCACAAGAGAAATCAGGAAAGAAACTGACACCCTAACTTCACAATTAAAAAAACTAGAGAAGCAAGAGCAAACACATTCAAAAGCTAGCAGAAGGCAAGAAATAACTAAGATCAGAGCAGAACTGAAGGAGACAGAGACACAAA